GGGAATGACAGGGAGAGAAAAGGAGAGAGAGAGAGAGAGAGAGAGAGAGAGAGAGAGAGAGAGAGAGAGACTGGGGGAGGGACAGGATTGAGAGATAAAGATAGGGGGAGAGGAGGGAAATGGAAGGAGAAACAGAAGATGAGAGGGATAAAGAATAAAAGAGAAAGAGGAGAGAGTGTGGGGAGGGGCGAAAGGTAGAGATAAAGAGAGAGAATGAGTGGGTGGGGGGTCAGAGAGAGAGAACCAGAGAGAGAGAACGAAAGTGGTTCACACAGACAAACAAACATACAGACAGACAGACTGAATGCGTCCTCGAAAGAGAAATAGAGGAGAATGAAAGAGGGGGTAAGATGTATTTGGAGGCTAAACACAATGATGAGATGTGATGATGAACTGTCTAAAGCCTGTTAAAATGTTATAGAGAACCTACGTCTCTCTGCTAGAGTGTGTGATGTATGATTGTTTTTTTTTCTCAACCCTGTTAAGTTCAGATGGATATGGTCACCTGAACTAAATAGTATCAACTGGTGTGTAAAACACTTAAACAAAATCATGGGGTGTATAATTTATGATAATGTAGTATTATTGTTTCCCTCTCAGCCCTGATGGGCCAAGACAGATATGATCGAGACAACCAATCCCCTTAGTGGTCTAAATAGTGTCATAGAGGGTAAAACACGCTTAGTGTAATCAAGCATAACAACCACACGCCTAGCAGAACGACATCAGCCCTTTGTCGCCTTTCAGCTGAATGTTATAACATTCCAGGTTGAGAGCCTTTTCGTCCGCCTGTCCCTCTTGAGGCAAGGAACTTTGGGTGACGTCACATCCGGGCTGCAGTTGGCACGAGACTTTCTGACCTATGGCAACGTCAGCAAAAAGGGCGTAGCTTCTCAGTTTTTAAAGGTAAAGGTCGACAGTGGTATCCTCTTGGTAGTTTTTGGACGTTCTACAATAAATGTTTTTGTTACAATTTTTATATATATGGTATACTACGTTGCTCTCCATCTTGCTGTCCCCCCCCCCTTTCTCCCTTTTCCTCCTCTCTAGGCTCCTGACTCTTTCCACTGTTACTCCTGGGTCCTAACTGCTGTCTTTTAGCAACAACCTTGATCTTTGGATAGGCAAGCTCGAATACCTAGCCTTCTCGGATATGTAGACACAGTTTCTGAAACAGAAATCAATAGTGGTTCTTAAACCTATGTGTACACAAAAACAAAAAGACTATGCTCAACACTGACGAAAGCGTAATGACCAACGTAGTGATCTCCAACATAATGAAAGTACGACACAAATTTGGGTGACTAAAACAGAAGGCTGTTTCCAGCATCTCAGATCACATCTATACTTGTCTGGAGCTCAATCAGTACAAATATTCTTTTAAAATTGCAGAACCAGCTTGTAATTTTAATTAAAAATTTTGTTCGTTGTTACTACTATACAAACACACAAGCAAAAAAAAGGGCTCTCAACACTGAGTATGTAACGACCAACACAGTAACAACCAACATAACGTCGAATAGAGGAAATTTAATGGACTAACAAATGAGGCTGTTTCCTGCTTCTCAGATCACAACTAGGCTTGTTTAAAATCTAGTCAGTGCAAAGTTGCTTCCAAAATTGCGAAAGCAGGTTGCAAAACAAAAGTTTGTGTCAGTTCTTACAACTACACATAAATAAAAAACAAAAAGATTTTGCTTAATAACACTGAAAGTGTAACGACCAATATAGTGACAAGCAGCAGAGATGGGAAGAGAGGGGGAGGAGGAAGACAGAGAGATATAGAGGAGGAGGAGGAGGAGGAGGAGGAGGAGAAAGAGAGTATGAGTGTGCACAATCAATCACAACTGTAGAATCACGTTACCATTAACATGACCACACTCCCTCAGGACGAAGTACAGCAAGCCCAAAGCACACTGAAGAACTTCTTTGACGAGGTGAGGACACGGGGTCACACGCTCTACGATGACTGGCTAGAGCTGGGACGAACAGCAGAAGACGTCTGGGTTATGGCAATAGATGACGTCAACTTGAGGAACTATTACCAGGTAGATTGTTGGATATAGGAAGTATGCATGTTTGTCTGTATGCGTGTGTGTGTGTTGAGCGAGGGATGGGGGTGGGGGGTCAGTGTGTGTGTCTTTGTGTGTGCGTGTGTGTGAGTGTAAATGTGTGTGAGGTCGAGGGTGAGGGAGGGGGTGAGTGTGTGTATGTGTGTTTGTGTGCGTTTAGGAGTGAGAGAATGAGTAAGAGAGAGAGGGAGATAGAAAAATGAAAGAGAGAGAGAATTAGTGTGTGTATATTTGTGAGTGTATGTGTGTGTGTTTGTGTGTGAGATAGAGAGGGGAGAGAGAGAGAGAGAGAGAGAGAGAGAGAGAGAGAGAGAGAGAAGGAGAGAAAAAGAGAGGGTGGAGGGGTGGTGGAGAAAGACGTGCAAAAGAGTGTACGCAATACTTCAATATCTCTATTAATTTATTCATGTCTCCTGTGTTAGGTAATTAGCACA